CTGTCTTCTTCAGCTTCCCACTCTTTTTCATTACACTCTTCTGCTTCAACTTCCTCTTCTCCTTCTTCGTGGCATCTGTAACCTGCCTCTTTAAAGTACTTTAACTCTTGGTCCCTTTTAATTTGATTAAACGCAACTTCTTCATTTTTCTTGAATTCATGTACACCTCTATCCTGTCTAGAACCCATATATTCTTCATCTTCGGATTCTTCTTCCTCCTCCTCAGAGTATTCTTCTCCGTCGTAAGCATCGATTCTATTGACTAGAATTGGGTTTTTAGTTAAATCTCTTTCGCCACTATAGGTTTGTAAAATTTGGCTCGAATCATCAAGAGAGGAACGACGTGCTATTCTGTCGACCTGAACCTTAACCAATCCTGATTTGTCTGGCTGAAGCGTTTCAACAAGTGAATTATGAATTAGCTCTTGATAAGAACTCTGTAGTTTTCGAGACTGAGACGAACTAAAGAATTTATCACCGCTTCGTAATGACTCTTTTTGACTCTTCTGATATCCGATCTGCCTGAAATCTTGCAGTTCTAGATTGGCCCCACCAGTGCTGGAAGTCCTTGAACTCTTCATATCAGAAATGGGCCTATTTGAGAAGTTCTTAGTAGAGATATGGTTAAATAGGGACAGTTGATGTTGCGGAAGCTGAGAGGCTGGACGAAAGTTTTCTTCAAAGTGCTCAGAAACTAAGATGGGGCGGAATGAATTGGGCTCTTCATGTTGAGCTGAAGTGCCTATACCCTGACCCTTAAAGTAGGAAGATCGGCTGAATATAAAAAAGAAACGAAAAAAGTGGGAGAAGAGACGTTAAATCTAATTGGCTAAGTTGTATAGCTCATAATAATACACAATACATCAAGTCTACATTAATTAATAAACTTTCACTTACGCTTACAGTAAGAAACTCTATGTAGGACGCAAAAAAGTTGTTCACATAATCAGAGAATCAAAGCAACAATTATTATGAAGAACAGAATTTTACACCAATTACTGAGTATGATACCTAAACAATGAATCATTTGTAAGCGACTTAAAGTGAAAATACTATCTAAAATAGAGTAAGATAATATTTAAATTAGCCTCTTTATATGAACAGACCTATAAATGGCCTTTTTTTCCTTAAAAACGGAAAGTAAATTCACTGTGCATACACCATAAACTTTTAAGTAGAAAACGTCCTATTTAAAATATATCATATTATCATTCATTCTATGTAAGCAACAAAAAAATGAGTACTTGTAAATTATGCTCATGATCGTTAAACACAAATTACCATGATACAGCGGTAAAGAGTTTGGCCATAGGATAAAAAAGGACTTAGGAAAATTTAGAGATTAAAGAATCGTGGCAATCTTTTAATATGGCGCTTAAAATAGTCATAATGTCAGGGTGACCTTGTCCGGAGTCATGACGATTTCTAGAGGCGGACCGTAGACTTGGTACATTCCAAGACTCTTCGCCGGCATAGTAGTTGTCATCGTCAGTGAGCCTTGCCAGGCCCACAACTCATCAACAACTAGTCAAAGAGACGAGGGAAGTCGAGACATTGATCAATTGTCTGCTGGACAATTACAGTAGATCTTCTTCTGTCCTGGTTCATTCCCCTCTCTTATATCCTCGTGTCACCCCTTTACCATCACCGCGACCATACTAGAAGGCACGCCATCTTAGTTTTCCTATTTTCGATTCAATACTCCTTTATTTTAATTCTAGAGCTAATTAAACTGTTTTTCTGGATAATTGTTTCCAGTAAATGAAACCGCTTACAGCTTTTAAATGGGTTTTACTTAACATTTAAATTCTTACACTATTTCCCATTATCTTCTTATCAACATTAATGCAAATCTGCTTTAGATTAATAGAAACCACAGAAGTAATATTTTCGAGAAAACCCCAACTTAACACCGCTTTAATAAGTAATATATTGTAGATGTTATATCATAGTGAGTGCATGTTTTTACATTATATAGCTAAAGGTATTATTACTTTCAATTCTAAGAAAAATTAGGAATAACTCAGCATAAATGGGCTTTGCTTCAAACTCTTGTATACGTCAAGTAAGCTCAATACAAATGGACTGTTTTATGAAAAGTAGAGAGCTATATTATAAAACGAAAGGCAAGTAAACCAGTTGCCTATAAATAGATTTTAATTGAGATCATTTTCATTTTTTTAATAATTTGAACTTCAAACTAGAGTGAAGCTGTCAGCGAATTATATAATTTTGTAAAGAATAAAATAACTTTCGTAAAAATTGCATGGCTATTGCATCGTGATAAAAAACTCCTGACTAAATCAGGTAATTGGCATCAGTGTAGGTCACAACCTGATTAGTGACCCAGGCTACTAGTTATGTGGCATGGGATGTAGATTCCCAATTAGTCATATTGATTCATTTTAAGGATTTTTAAGGTATAGTGTATAAAAGTGTCTCTAGTAGCAAATGCTAATCATAGACTCTTGCAAGTCCATTTTAATGATGTAAGACAAGGCAACTCACCGTTCGGTGTATTTGTTTGTTGGCTTTATCATGAGCTGTGTTTTCTTCTTAGGGGAAATCTCAATAAAATTTAAATATATGATAAGGTCCGTTAAATATATAATTATTATAACATCCACAAACGGCTTATCCATTCTCTAAATAATTTACTTGCTAAGGCGGCTCAATGGTATCATCAATTGCGTTAATTCTAACTTGTTTTCGTAACTTGGTCGGAGCGTCAGTGAGACCTTGTGGAACGTACCCTGTTCCGTGTTTTATGAAAAAGTATTCATGATTTCTAACATTGAACCATCGGCTTGGCACATTCCCAAACGTTTCGCCGGCATTGTCAGTGAGAGGCGCCATCGTAAGCACAGAATTAAAACTTATCAAAAGAACTTGTCACTGACGCCTCTCACTGACGACGCCGACTAGGATGCCGGCGAAACGTTTTGGAATGTACCCAGCCCATGGTTCAATGTTGGAAATCACGAATACTATGGTAGAGGACACAGGACTAGGTACGTTCCACAATTTTACCTTGACGCTCCGAATAAGTGGCGAAAACCAGGTCGAACTAACACTATAAAGCTAAAGGAGACTGCGACCAAACAAAGGGCCAAACCATCTTGGTCTTCATATCTACATATTCTCAATTATTTAAAAGGAGGAAGAGTGCCGCGCTTATGTCGGCTCGGGATCGTAGACTCCTTGAGGATAGATGAAAACAGTATCCAAAATGTTTTACTGTGAGGCTATAACATTAAAAATAAGTCGCATTAAGTGAGTATTGATGCTAATGATTATTTAAAATGTTCGTCTTATCTGGTCTGGTCTAGTTCAGCTAGCTTCTAATGAATACAATTCATTGAAGAACATAAAGAAAATAGATTGTCATGACACTTCGAAACGTATTTTGATAATTCATTCAAAGCTTTAATTACAAATATTTTTCTGGATTACCTTGATAGATTGAACTAGAAAAATGCTCCCTTAATATTATATTATACAATATAATTAATACTTCTTTATCCAAACTAATTAACCTTTCCTGAGTTTAGAGATAAAAACTTAGCTGCTCCTGCTCAATGGTCCTTGATCATTTTGAAAATCTATTTAAATGGGAGAATCCAATTCAGGTTTTAGGCCCAGGCAAGCATCCTAAGACAGAATTTATTATAAAGCGATACAAGCAAAAATTCTAGACTGAATCACTTTATCAACGACCAGCTAAAATGCCTTTTGCCGAGCAAGTATATGGGAGAATGTTCAATGGTTGGGCATAATGACCATCCTAGGGCTTGAGTATAACACACGCGACCAAATGATCTTTATGTTGCACTAGTTAAGATTAGTGTACATTTCGAAGTTAAGAAAGGCCATTCAATCCTCATTATCTCTTATTGTGGCCTTCAAGTAATTTTTCAAGTATATATATTGACCGAAGGCTCACAATTAATATCGTCATTGGCGCCAGAACCGAGAGCTGCCATTGGAAGTATGCCGGAGGGAATTAGAATGGCTTACGACTGCTTTGCCACTGAAAAAGAAGAGACTTAGTAATTGTAACTATCCTTTTCAAAGAATGCTAAATAGATAAATAAATACTCTAGGCACAAATTCTAGGCATAACAAGAAAATATTTTGGTTATATAAGCTTTCGTTTATGATATAGGTTTTCTGGATAGAAACGGAAGGAAATGTAGTCTTCAAAACGGATCACAGTTTGTTTACTAGACCCGTCACAATTGACTAGATTGCTAGACTTTGAGGTCACGACTCTTGCAGTGCTGAAAGTATCGGATGCATTGATTAATCTCGAATAAATCATCTTTAAAAATTGCTTCACCTAGTGTTAACGTGAGACCTTTACAGGAATAAGTTCTAGTTCTGATGATATCCATCATATGGTGAACGCAAACTCAGCCAATATTCACCCTAAACGTGAGAGGATGTCTCATCGATTGCGTGATACTAAACTTAGTATTAAAGGCAAACAATTGCAGTACGACGGGAGTCAGCCGCCTTCTGGTGTGATCAACTTTCGAAACTCTCCATCATGCACTTTCATACGAAATGAAAGTCAACACATAAATAGGCAAGTCAAGATTGTTATAGTGAAGGCGTTATACGAGAATATGGGATTGCTGATTAGCTTAGGGCGGAAAGAGAGATACCACGATTGTTTAGCAGACAATTGGTCTCTTGTCTCTTTTGACGAGTTGCAGTGTGGTGTTAAGAATAGCAAAACTCACTGACGATGCCGGTGAAACGTTTGGAAACGTACCACGTCCACGGTCCGACTTTGCAAATGATCATGCATAAAATGGACTGCGGGCTAGGTGCGTTTCTCTAAGTCTTCCTACCAATATGACCAAGTTTCGAAAACAAGGTCAAATAACTTCTGACTTCGGATAATTATTCACTTTTTTCGTAGGTGAGAAAGTTTTCGAGACTACCAGTAAATCGGATGCTGGTAATCAGAAAACCTACTCACCCACGAAAAAAGTAACGTCGCCGACTGCTGTAGCAAATATAAGTTTGTATCATCGACAATCCCACACAGACTGTCATGTTGGAAAACATCTGACTTTCCTTAAAATTCACATTTGTCCCGTGACCCAAAGGCACTCGTGGCAATGTGGCGTGGTGGTTAAAGTATCGAGCTTTCACACTGAACTGTCATGGTTCGACTCCCGCTTTGGGTGTT